GGTAATGACCGACACCATCCCTGAGGCATGGGGATCGCAAGGGGAAGAAGATATTGAGACCAGGCTAAGGGGTTTGGCAGAATGGTTAATTGGCCAGTTCCAGGCTCTGTACACAGGCCAAACAGAGACATACTGGGACGAGGCTTATGTACAACTCTTCTCTCTATTGGATGAGAGCCGCAGTCTGAAGCAGGCCTTGAAGCAAGGCCTATCCCCGGATACCGATTGGCAGCAGGTTTTGAACAGAATTTGGAACATCGTATCACAAAAAATTCCAACCTCCCGCAACTATCAAAACACCCACGATTGGTGGAACACACAACGAGCCCCAATGACGAGTGGATTAGCGCCCCGGCTCAGCACAAACTAAATAACTGGAGGAATAAGCATACATCCCTCTTCGGTCGAACTCGAGTACTCAATAATGTAATCTTTGCAACATTATGGTACAAGTCCTTACTGTGGCCATTGAGCAAAGCGGCCCTGAAAAGCCTATGCAATAAGCCGAGTAGCCTGGGCTTCAATTATCCAGCCAAAAGTGGGGGGAGGTTTGGGAATAACTGACCCAGCTACACAAGTGCAAGCGTTACAGGTAACTTGAAAGTGGTTAAAAAAAACTTATTTTTGATCCCCAAAACCCGTGGTGCGTTTTGGCCTTGAAACATCTGGCCCGGTTGGCTCCGGCAACCCCCCATACGATTCACCTACTAACTTGGTTGGAGGATCGATTCTGGACAAAGCGGTGTAAGGAAGGAGGTGGACTTATGTGATCAATTTTGCTTATGCCATGTAGACCGATTGTCCTGATCCAACTGGGTGCCGACTTCCCGTATCCTTCTTACGACCGTTCCCGTACAACGAGGAAAGGACACATGTATGTGAGTGGGACGTGCGGAAAGCCGTCACAAAGATCAGCGGGCACTATTGTTTCCCTCCCGAAACAAGGTGTTTGGGATTCGTAGGTGCCATGTTTGTCATTATCGATACCCACTTTCGTTCGTGCTCTTTATTATTGCCTTTTAACAAACTGATTGTCATCCCGTGGACGGCCGTAGCGCCTCATTGGCCCAACACTCTATGTAGCGATTGTTGCCGCACCGAGCGTTATCGGGAAAAGGGGTTCCGCTATCGGACACATGGCGAAGACGAACACAAGGAAAGACCGACCCGGCTGAGGCCGTCCACATCGGATTCCAAACTCTGTAACGAGCGACGTCAGGATTTGATTGGAAAAGAGATCCAAAGTGCATACCCCCGTCTTTCCGTTTGAAAAGCCGACGAGTAGCCCGCATGGAGGTTCAAAGATATTTTTTGAATTAGGCGAACGTTTGAAATTAGAGTGCACCATTTCTTTCCCGCGTGGTTATGGTCCTTTCTCGCTAAGACTGGAATTGCATAGGGCCCTTCGATTCCGTTTGTGGCCCCACACTCAATATTCCCAAAAATTCTTGGCACACCCCGTTTTGTTGTTCTTTCAGGGCCTATTGCGCACAATTTATCACTCCCGACCGAAAGACACAACAGGGCATGAGCTAGCCTTGGGTAAGTTAGGGGAAGGACGGTAGGATGTGTCCGTGGGCGTTGGCTTGCCTTGCTGAGGTACGCCTGCTGGGTAGACTCTTTGAATTGGGCCTGTAGAAGATTGCATGAGCGTGCCGTCCGAAGTTCTGGTCCGGCAAGGTTTGTCCGCTTCCGTTTCCACTAGGGGTGGGGGGTTGGCCCAGCCTTGGTGCTTGTCACTGCTGTCTGGTCCAAGTTGCCCTCGATACTGGTAGGGTGATGGTCCTGAGTGCTGGTCACACTGAGGTAGGATAGTAGTGACAAGGGTTGCGCTGGGAGTATTGACGTTGGGATGGGTATGGTAGGTGGCCTATCCTGTCAGGACAACCATTGGCTGCCGCTGCCAGCAATCACCGCGGGTCTGGTCCATGGCCTCTACAACACCCTGGGCTTTAAAAAGAAGAAGAAAAAGAAAAGAAAAAAAAAAGCATGTACTAAGGGCTTGCCCCTCTCCTCCCCCCCTTCGCAGACCCCCCCTCTTTCGTCCCACTCCCCTTTGCCCATCCCCTCGCTTGCCCCCCTCCCTCAGCCTCGCCCCCCCCAACCCCTACGCCTCCTCCCCCAATCCCCGGGGGTTCCCCACCTCCTCCCCCTCCCCCATCCCCTCCCTAGAGATGCTCCGTCCCTCCCTCACCCCCCGCCAACAACCCCCCGGCCCCATTCCCCGATGCTGCCCCCTTCTCTTCCTCTCTTCCCATCCTGCCCTGCCCCTCTCCCACCCTCCAATCTGTTCAACCAGTGGCCAGCTGGCTTGTGACGAACTGATTTCCGTAGGCGCGCGGCTTTCTGCGCGACTGTAGTTCGGGGGAGGGGGGGCAGGGGTGATCAAGAAAAGTCTGCCCAATTGCATGGATGTCCCCGTCTTTTGGAAGGGGGTTGGTCCCACAACGGTTGTTAATTGGCTGCGCCTTAGCAAGCGCGGAAATAACTGTTGCCATAGCTTCTTTCTTGTTCAGTTGCAAAAAGGGGAGGGATTTCTGGCGTGATCACCGCGCGGGAAGTCCTTTTTTTTTCCTCTTTCTTTTTGAATTTTGAACCTACACAGGTTCTCGGAATTTCTTTTCGCAATTAGGATTTTAATTAGGCTAGGAATTTGGGAACATTGTAATTTTGGTTGCAACTACACGAGGCTCCGTACTTGCGTGCGCATTATGGCGTCCTGTTCCGCGCTCTGCTCCTGCCGCGCCTAAATTC